TGCTGTGTGAGCAGTGTTGTGCTGGGTGTGCCGTGTGTGAGCAGTGTTGTGTATTGTGCTGCTGTGTGAGCAGTGTTGTGCTGGGTGTGCCGTGTGTGAGCAGTGTTGTGTATTGTGCTGCTGTGTGAGCAGTGTTGTGCTTGGTGTGCCGTGTGTGAGCAGTGTTGTGTATTGTGTTGCTGTGTGAGCAGTGTTGTGTATTGTGCTGCTGTGTGACCAGTGTGTGAGCAGTGTTGTGTATTGTGCTGTGTGTGAGCAGTGTTGTGTATTGTGTTGTTGTGTATTGTGCTGCTGTGTGAGCAGTGTTGTGTATTGTGTTGTTGTGTATTGTGCTGCTGTGTGAGCAGTGTTGTGTATTGTGCTGCTGTGTGAGCAGTGTTGTGTATTGTGTTGCTGTGTGAGCAGTATTGTGCTGTGTGTGAGCAGTGTGTGAGCAGTGTTGTGTATTGTGCTGTGTGTGACCAGTGTTGTGTATTGTGTTGTTGTGTGAGCAGTGTTGTGTATTGTGTTGTTGTGTATTGTGCTGTGTGTGACCAGTGTGTGCTGTGCTGTTTGCACAGGAACTGTCCTGCGGAGGAGCTGCCGCTGGAGGACGGCTGCGCGGACCTGGTGACGGCGGTGTCTGCCGCGCACTGGTTCGACAGGCCGCGGTTCCTGCAGGAGGCGCACCGCGTCCTGAAGCCGCGCGGCTGCCTGGCGCTGCTCAACTACTCCATGGACATGGAGCTCCACTACGGCGACTGCTCCGGGCGGCTCATCGAAGTGTGCCGAGAGGTGAGCCCAGTCCCGCTTCCACCTGGACCTCGCACACCGAGCTCCTCTGGGGGCGTCCAGAGGGTGTGTTACAGTTAGCACCGCTGCCTTGATGCTCCTGGCTCCTGCGCGGGTGGCACCTTCCGTGTGGAGTCTGCATGCTCTCCCTGTTGTCATGCCGCGTTTCCGTGCAAAGGCAGGCTAGCTAGTTGAATTGGTACCTCTGACGCGTCCCTGTGCTTCGGGGACAGGCTGCAGGCTGCTTCCCAGAACGATAACGGACGGGGTTTCGCTGAAGGTGAAGGTAACGGCCTTGTTGTCTGAGGGTTCCCATCTGAAACGGCTGAACCAAGTAGTTCAGCTGTGAAATGTGGATAAATAGAGGATACAAGTATCCCAGATGACTCATTAATGAACTTAAAAATGCATAACGAAGCTGTGAAGTTTTAAAGGGCATCAGTCTAACACTCTCAGGAAGCCATTGGTTGTTTGTTGAGCGCAAATGCCAATAGGCATATATACTGTATTTGTAACCCAGACGAACCATGGAATAGCTGACATGCTTTTGATGGTATCCACCAGTTCTACGATGCCCTGAGGCCTTACCGCTCTCCTGTTCTGGGCTCCAACTCCAGCACGCTGTATGAAGAAATGTATGACTCTTTACCATACCCCGAGAAGGAATGGTAAGCACCGCTGAGCTCAGCTGTAACTGAGAGGAAGCCATTCAGCTCGGTGGGCTTCTTCAGAATGAGTGTCCTTCGTGTCTGTAGGAGATGAGGCCATGCAGCCAGGCGGTTGTGTCGTGCTTGTGTGAGACAGCAGGCCCGGGAGGGTGTCTACTGCATGCTGACCGCTCTCCCCTTGCTACCTGTCACATTGGTACACTTGTAGCAGCCAGCGTCGAGAGGGTCATGCAGACAGTGTGGCGTAGTGGAGTAGTCTCTGGCCTTCCAGCTAACAGGTTGTGGGTTCTACCCAGCTGTGTAAGGAGGGACCATCATCACTGAGATTTATGGGGGAGCCATGAGCTTCCTCCTCTTCCTCATATCACAGAAACTGGGATAAGCCCTTGTCCCATGAGCCAGTGAACATGGAAAATTAGAGTGGTACAGTATATAGGGTGGTAATATAACACAGGACTTGCATGCAATTATAACACTGCGTGCTCAAAGGGTTAGCACATCTGTTCCACTCCGGCCTTCTCTGTCATGTGCACTGTGTCTCTATGAGCTAGTGCTGTCACTTGGCAGGCTCTTCTTCTGTCACCAGGCTCAATGGGATCACAGTGCGGAGGTTCATGCCTCTGTCCAGCTACATGGGCTGGATTGAGTCCTTCTCCAGCTACCAGGCACTGCTGAAGGAAGACCCAGAGGCAGCCGGATCCTTGTCCAAGCACATTCAGGACAGGTGAGGTCCTCACATAGTCCTACCGCTGACCAAATGAACACTGCCGTAATATTAATAACATTAATAATCACACAGTCTCCAGTGCCCTACACTGATGAGCTACAGGAGCTACAGGAACCGAATCCTTTTTAGTTTTTTTAAAAGAGATGATTGGGATGGGAAAGTATACAAAATGCTCAAATAAGTTAATAAAGCCAAACCAATGGACTTCTTCAGAATGAATAGTGAATCATGAACCAGATGGGACAAGTGGACGCTATGTGGAAGTGTATTGAAAACCGAGAACTGATGGCTCTTCTTTACCCAAAGAGCTGTAGGAGTATGGGACAGGCTAGCCAGCCATGTTGCTGAAGCTAATACCCTGGCTCCTTTCAAGAAACGACAGGACGAGTATACCTGCATAGATTAACTACTAAAAAACAAAACAAAGTAGGTGGGCTAAATGGATTCCTTTCATTTGCAAGCTTTAATATATTCTTATATACTGTACACCTGCCCATCATCAGAAAACCTTTTATTTCTGGCGATGGTGATGGCCATCTGGAGCTTACCCCAGAAACATAACGGAGAAGGCATAACGGAGGAAGCCAGGTCATCTCAGGTCACACACACAAATAGAAATTGGGTGATACCCACAAAGATAGGGCCCAGTTAGAAATAGCGCAGTATCAAATAATCCGGTTCATGTTCCTCAAACATCATCATTATCTGTCTGTGACTTTTAGACAGTGCTGACACAGAGAAAAGACAAAGGAAATGTATCAGGTCTGTAAGGGGTGGTTTAATATGTGGTCAAAGTACTGTTCTACTCCCTGCCATCTGCTCCTTTAACTCCTTTGTTACTGCTGATATGTGTCCCTCTGATAGTCTCTACAAACAGCTATGGCTCTGTTGCTCTTGCTGTCCTTACTGTAGATGCGAACAAGAGGCGGCTGTCTTTTTCCTTTCAGGCTGCTGGAGGTCATGGGAGTCTCCTCTCCTGACACCGTGGTGGAAGTGGCTGTGAGATATCTCTGCGTCTTAGCGTGCAAGCCCAGCGGAGGAGACTGAGCTGCCTCTTGTCCTGTGTCTGTGTCGCGCTGTGCTGAAATAAAGCAGGCTGACTGCGCCCAGTGGGTCCACCGTCCTCGTGTCTCCTCGTTTTCTGCCACCCATCTGCAGCAGTGCACTCTACGTCCTCCTGAAGGAAAACTGCACCCCTGAAAACGTCACTGCCTGAACAAAACAATACGTGCTACACTTTTACACAGAGAAACAATAACGTTTGTATTATATATATTATATATTGAAATACGGTAACAGCTTTTTATCACAAAATAGTAGTCTGCTTTTATACAGAGAGACAGTAACATTTTAAATTCGGTAAAACACATTTTATATTCTTTATGTTTTAAGGTTTTATTACAGAGGGTCGTGGGCTTTGCAGGGTCCTTGGCACGCAGCTGCTGGATCTGGTGTGAATGGGTTTGTTGAGCGTTGCTGTGTCTCACGAATGGCCTGTTTTATTGTCAGGACTGTTAATAGAAATGTGGGGCACACTACTTGTTAGGCATCTTCTGTGTTTGAACATACAGTAATAATATACGAAAGGCTCTAAACAAGGGATGGCCCATCTAGCTGGGCAGCTTGTTCCATACTCCCACAACCCTTTGGGTAAAGGGACCCCAAAATGTTAACGAAGAACTGCACCTCCAGATCTGTATGTGGAGCAGCATCTGTGTTGCTGTGTGAGCAGAAGGAAGAAGCACAGCGTGTGTAGATATGGAGCCCTCGGAGCTGTTAAGAAGAGACTGGACACGCTTGCTGGATCACTCTCATCGGGAGTGTTGTTCTTAATTTCTCCTTACAGCAGGCTTTGGGTGTGCAGTCTAAAGACAGAGTTCTGAGAAACCTCCTGTACATCTTGGTTGGCCATGTAAAGAAAATACGAGCATTTCATTAAAATGATTCCCTGTTTTTCAGTTTCTTTCCCCTTTTGAAAAGCAAATGCCTCCTTCATTAGACACAGGAATTTTCAGCGAAGCCCTTTCTTTCTGAAGTCTGCAGGGATGCAGGCAGCGCTTTGTTTATCTTGGCCATCATGGGGAGATGTAGATGAGGTGAAGCGAGATGGAAAATAGCACATAATGAGCTCCAAACCATAAGAACCCAATTACTCACGAACTCATCTTTGTGCACAAGCCTGTTATTACCTCTTTCCCTGACTTAGGAGTATTTTGCCTAGTTGTCACATGCAGATGTGCTCTGAGATGTCGTGTATTTACAAAAGTGCAAGACAAGGTAAACTACAGAGGTATTTCCCTCATCTTGAAAATAGTGGATGTAAATCTCTAGAGTCTTACTAATGTCTTATCCCTCACGTGCCGGTAAAACTCTGCCTTCAGTTCATCCATGTTAGCGTGCAAAGATAAATTAAAGAAACAGGTTTTTTTTTTTGCTTCACAGTGTAGCTAATTCCTTGTCATACAGCATGTTTCACTTTTTGAGAGGGCTGTACGGTGGGAGCCAGTCACACCTTTTCTCCAGTGTGCTGAGCTTTATTGAAGAAGGATGATGTATGTGGCCCTCACAAGAGGTATAAGTAGTGGTGCGCAAACCCCTGGTGCATTGCTGAAGGCAACAGCTCACCCGTCTAATGTGTCAATTCAGACAGCCTTGAGGGTTTACAAGCAGTTTGTGCCAGATAGCAATGAAGCAGAAGTGCAATTCAGCCTGCAAGAAGATACTGAACTGCAATGGTCATCTAATGTGTTGGTGTTGGTGGCTGAAGGGTACTGCATTATCACAGACATATGTGCCCATTTAGAGGAACCTTTTACAGTGTGTTACAGCGACTATCACCTCTGGAGGTGGACCAACCCACTAATAACATATATTGGTAGGAGAGTATATAATGAGGAATTCCAGATTGGAATGATTCAGTGTCCCTCCCCTCGCCCCAAGACTGGATGAGATGATGACGTGGACATGTCTTTTCTGGTTGGCCTCAGCAATAACACAGACACCTGGGAAGGTCATCTGCATTATGAGCATGCCTGTGCCCTCCCATAACAGAGTTTGACATTATCTCGTGTGCACAACTCCAGATTCCTGCAGTGTGACGAAATGTGTCCAGTACTTGTGTTAGCCTGTTTTCACCAGCTACAGAACTCTTTCCCTACTGATCCCTAGTGAGTATCCTCGGAACTTTCTTTAATTCTTTTAATGCATCTCACTGCTTTGTTTCAGCGAGGACAGAAACGTGAGTGTTCTGCTAAATCCATGCATAAAACAATCAATCATTCGGATTTTCAGCTCCTTCAGCTGTATCGGCTGTTTCAAAATCGTTTTGCTTGTGTGCCAAAACTGTGTATCTTTTTATTGCTGTTAATTTAGCTCCAGCCCAAAGGGTTTTTTTTTTTGGAAAATGGTTAATGGGTTGTAAATACTATTTTTTAAATGTATATCACACAATAAATACGACAAAGGGAAGAAATAGCACATTTTCTCAGTTTTTCAAGACAGGTATCTCAGGTGGCTGTCACAGAACAGTAATTTTAAATTACTTCATTTCTCAAAGTAATGCAGTGCAGTGG